GGCAATATTTAAAAACCTCTGCCTTGGGGTATCCCCATAAAAAATCACGGTGTTAGATCAGGTGAGTGCGCTGCCAATGGGATGTCACCTCGAAGCGAGATGAGCCATCCGGGGAACTTTGCCCTCAAAACTGTCACCGAAGCTTGGGCTGTGTGGGCCGTGGCACCTTCCTGTTCTAACCGGACATTTCCTAGATGTATTTCTTCAAGAGCTGGTTCGAAAAATTTTTTAATCATGTCCACATACCGCTATGAATTTACAGTAACTGCATGATTGTCTTCTTCAAAAAAATAAGGGCCAATAACTCCAACTCTCGACAATGCACACCATACTGTCACCTTATCACTGTGAAGTGGCCTCTCATGGAGCTCTCCGGGATTGTTACCGCTCCAATAGCACATATTCTGCTTGTTGACATATCCAGATAGGTGAAAATATGCCTCATCACTAAAGAAAACAAGTGCGTCAGGGGTAAAGTTTCCAACAACGTTTCGTACGCTGTTATTCCGTTCTGAAAATCACGTGGTGACAATTCTTGCACAACAACCATCTTATAGGGATGGAAATGAAGATGTTCATGAAGAACTCGGCGCATTGAACGATTGGTTATGTCTAGGGAGACTGCATGTTTGCGAGCGGAGCGTCTTGGAGATCTCAAAATCGACTGTCGAACTGCCTCCACATTTGCTGGCGTTGTAACGGTCCGTTGTTGTCCTGATGATTTTTTCACCACACTCCTGGTTGTCCTAATATTCTCTACCCACAAAACAATCGATTTCCATTTGGGAACCGGACCTCTGGGCTTAATTCCGAAGTGAGTACAGAACGCACGCTGCAACGCCACTTAGGAATGGTTGTTCGAAAAATTGGTTTCGACAGCAAACACACGCTGCTCACTCGTACACCTCATGTTTCCTACTGAGGTGTATTAGGCAGAAACTTTCGTGACTGCTGCGTTCACCGGGCCTATCCCCACTTTTCTGTGACCTCCCCTCCCTTCACAATGCATCTTCACAAAAAGGAAGTTTCTGCGCCCCATTCTGTATATTAAAGATCAAATTTGGAAACAATATCTAGCTCGCAAGTGTTCTGGTACAAACTTTCAAGAATGGTGTCAACACTAAGTACCATAAATCTGCTAAAAATTGATAAGGCTATTCCTCCTTTCTAAACAAGGTGACACATATAGAATAGTTAATAATATTTATCTATTTTTACAAGAGTCACAACCCCTGTTGAGGTAGAATGCTAGTACATATCTTACTAAACCACTGAGAGGGCTTATCCGTATGCTTTTAGTGAATATCGTTGACACCACAGTTCTAAGAAATAATGAGGTGACTGCTGAACGGAATTAAATTGATTAAAACCACAAAATTAAATAGATTCCATGATACTGAATTGCAGGGCCATGGGTATTGAACTGATTTACCCTACCCTAGGAACGGCCATAGTTGTAAGTTAGTTACAGATGCATTAAAGGGTCCTCATGAAGAGGTGCCCTGGGCCGTACATTGAGTACCCATGCTCCAGAAAGTCTAGAATTATTGTGTTCCAGAGATTCTTGGATGAAGTCTATACATAAAAAAGAAACGTGCTTCACATAATAATATAAATTGTAAGGTGTATAAGTAAAGGAAGGCATTGAACTTCAGAGAAAAAAACAGTCAGCTTTCTTGCAGTAAAGGGTTAATTGCAGAAATAGCAGCATAGGTTAAACATTTTAGATGGATGCAAGCAACTGCCCTCATATCAGTATACAGTTGTTCATAATTGCCCCATGTAATTGTAATCTATGCAGTTTGCTTCGGTTTCTTTTAATTTTGTTGTTAATACACAGTACCTTGTCTGATATATACGGCTGGTTCACGCCTTGTTTCCCTTAAATTTTATCCTCAATGATAATTGTACATCGTTATGGGCGCCTTGCTTCATGTCTAAAACGTATGGTTGGCTCACACCCTCCACTACCCTTAGGCTCCACCGTCAATGATAAATTTACACTGCTGTACTCATTGAAATGATATACCAGCAGGATTGCAAGTGACGAATTTCATGGGATGTTGAAGGGAGTGGATGTCATTTGTGTGGAGGAACTGTGAAACTCATGCTAGTTCTCATTCAGTACATCCTGTCCCTGGGTCAAGAATCGAAACTGCTAGCTACCAATGGGGGCATGAGGAATGGGGGAAATTAGATTATTAGTGTGAATATGTAGCATAAATTTGTTTTTGGTTACACTTTTAAGGTTGCTTGTGTTTGTAAGATATGCGCCAGACAATGATAACTCAGGATTGCATGATACTATAGAGATGAAATGCTCTAGAAATATGATTGTATGCATACCTTCTTATTGGCCTTCCGAAACTTATCAGGATCAAATCCATCAACTGTGTTCTGAAAAGAAGAGAATGCATTCAGTATATTTAAATTGTGTTAATTGATTATTAGGATCAGGCAACCTATTGTATAGAGGAAAAGAAAAAGTGGCCATATAATGTTTTCTTAGAAAGTTTGAAGAGTATAATGGTCGTTTCATATAGAAAGTACATCATTGCATTTTAAGTTTTTTTTTTCCCCTGAATTAAATACTTAAAATAGGCTAACTGTATTGTCTAAATAACACTTGGATTGAACAGTCATAGAATAGAAACCAACTATATGGGGGGGTGTTCAGGAAGATTTTTCAACTTCATAGGCTATAAAGAGTCAAGCATTAGATTGATTATGAGTGGTGAACTGAAAAGGACTTGAAAGGAAGAATTTGTGGACTATTTTAAGATGCTAACGCAAAATCTTCCTGGAGATACTGAGGAAAATATGTGCTTCATTGTTAAAGGGATTTTATCAGTTTTGTTTACTTATATTTCTGACTTATTTATTTATTCGCTCTATATTCTTGTTCCTGTTTTTTGTTTAGAAAATAGCATACATTTACAATCATATATTACCATATTTCTTGCAAACACTATTACTTGTTATAGGTCCTACATAAACACGTCTCTAAGTTAGAATATTTGTTGTTTTGATTAAACCAATGTATAAATTTGCAAATTAATACTTAAGTGATAAATCAATCATAGCGAATCTTCTGCTTTTAATTGTAATTTATTTATGCAAGCATCAGGCCGTTTTGGAATTTTCTCATAGATTTTAAAGGAATCCACATTTTAACAACTATATTTTATAAAAAGCAGTGCAGTGCAGCAGTTACGTAAAAGTATCTACCTGACGATCAACTTATAAGGTCGAAATATGTAGAAGTAACACTTGAAAAAATGTGATTACATAGCACTCTGTCTACAAGCATGGCAATAAGTCTCTGCAAATATAACCGACCCCTATCATATTCAAAAAGGAGCCGGGATAGCGTAGTCGCTATGGCGACTGGCTACGGGCTGGAGGACCGAGGGATCAGATTTCGAGTCGCAGTAGGGTCAAGAATTTTCTCTTCTCCTTATCCCGACCGACTCCGGGGCACACCCAGCCTCATATCCAATGGGTACCGGGGACTTTCCCCTGGGGTAAAGTGGCAGGGGCGTGAAACTGATCACTCACCTCCAACTAGTGCCGAGGTCAAAATGTGGAGCTATACGTCTACTGCCCCGTACACCTTCATGACGTAGTGCTTAATTAGTTAAGCACAGGGACAACTTTTATCTTTTATCATACTCACAAGAACCTCGCCACTGAAACCTACCTGACACGACAGTATACAGTCCACACCCTGACGTTCTGTTTCTTTGAGATTCGTTTTAATTCCTTCTCTCATATGTTCCTCGGGATCCAAAGTGTGGAAAAGTACTCTACCCTACTTTGTATATCAAGTCCAAGCATATGAATATATGACCCTCTCTCCATCAGCGGCAGTGGGAAATTCCCGATAGGAATGTGCATGAACCTATATTTACCTTATTACATTATTTCTCTTTTACCGAAATTTAACTGCAACGAACCCGGAGTACACATAAAGTTTATGCTGTTTACTTCCAGCAACATTTGTTGATGACAGTTGTAGTGTGATAAATAGTCCGCTTCAAATTTTACAAAGTTCAGCTTTTGCGGTTCTCCTTCGTTATTGTTACTGTTACAATCATGATTATTAATTCATGGTTCAAATCGAACAGGCCAGTCCGGAAGTAACGCTCTAGACTTGTGTTTGAGAGGTGCTCGGCTCAAATCTGGGCTGGAACGCCGGCTATCCCGACCGAGGTTTTTCGTAGTGTTCTTCAGTTCTTCCAGACATGTGCCAGGATAGAACCTCGATTATGCTAAGACTGCTTCCTTCTAAATCCTTCCCAATTTGTCATTCATTCATCATGCTATCATCCAACGCTTTACAGTCTCGATAATGAAGGCAACATTAAGTAACATCCTTAAAACCCCATGGCTCAAGGCTTTTTGTGAAAAACTGCCAAATGTTGTGCTCATTGATAAATTCCCCGCTACTTTGAACTTGAAGTTGAATTACTCGTATAGGTTGGATCCTATCCTAAGCCAATTTCATCCACTAGATACCTGCACAACCTAGTTCTCTAAAATGCATTGTAACATTTTCCTTTCATTAGTCATTATTATTATTATTATTATTATTATTATGATCATCATCATCGTCGGCATCACCATCATTCCCAAAACAGCCCATTTTTTTATTTATAGCCCTCCTTAAAATATTCTACCGCGTTTGATAACTTTTTTTACTAATCAAGATCGTCAGCCTTGCGTCCAATCCTCAACCTGGAGGCCCAGAGTTTCAATATTATGTCCCCCAGTGANTATTATTATTATTATTATTATTATTATTATTATTATTATGGCTATTAATATTACATTTACTGCTATTATTATTATCATCATGGTTAATGGAAATTATGTAATAATTATTATGGTGTCGGTTGCAATTTATGTACGAGTATATCATTTTTCTTACTATTCAAATTTGACCTCACATTTTATTAAGTACTGTTTTATATTCAAACATAAGAATAATTATTATGCGATAAAAGATTTAACCTTTATTAACCATAGATGATTTTGAATTCTTGCGCTATTGACCTTTTCACTACTGCAGAATTGGAACGAGAATTCCCACGATTATCAGAATCAAATATGTGAAGTGCTACAAAGAAATGCAGCTGTACACTTCTATTGATTCCACAAGGAATACGAAGTATGTACCTTCAAATCATTAATTTCTGACCAAGGTCAGAAAATTGCTATATCTGGTCTTGATGTGTATGCTAGTAATAGCAAAACAGAAAATCAATAACCTGAATGCCTTGTGCTTTGATTGAGTTTAAAATGTTTTACGTTTCAAGTCTTCATGCGCCAAGAAACTACTTGATTAAATTAATAATTCTTTTCAGCTCTATCAGCTAACTTCAAGGTGAACGGTCTTCATAGAAAAATCAATATTTACTCGACGTGATGAAGAATTCCATACTTTAAAGGAACCCGAAGACCCATTACCGTGCACACTAAAGCACGCCACTGGACTCCTATCTAATCAGATTAATCCAGTGCACGCCCATTGACGCGTTCTCTAGGGCCCATGTTTATTATCCTCCCGCCTATACCAAAGTCTCAAAAACAGTCTCTTACTTTGAGGGTTTTCAAACAAAGTTTCTTATGCATTTCTCGCTTCCCCTTGCAGCGCTGTATTGACTGCAGTATTATTATGCTCTCGATTCTTTGTATCCTGCTGTGTATATAGAATCAAGTTATGGAGATCCGTCCACACTACAACTGTATATGAATTTTATACTATAATAAAAGGACAATATTAGTTTCATCGTAGTGATGGAAATAGTAAAGTTAATACTCTCATTTTATTAAGTCCCTCTGCTAGATGTGCAGCAGCTGCTAATGTTGTCTGCAGGGATGTTGACGTATTCGGAGCCAGGAATTTTCTCCCCAAACGATTTTTAAATATAGTATAATTGTTAGTATTATTATTTGCATGTACAATAAAACAATAAACAGAAATATTATTATTATCCTCTGAAAATCTATACTTTTCATTTCTTAATTAAATGTTTATATTTTTCATTTCTCACTTCTTAATAACACTTAGATTTATATGAATGAAATTATTATTATTGCTATTATTATCATTTGTTTGTTTGTTTACTTTTCTGCGTTATTGTGTTTTCCCCAGTGCTTGCATGTAATTTCTCTTTGACTTTATAATGTGTTTGTCTATAATTTAATTACTTTTATCTGCACTGTGCTCTGTCTGTAAGTGGCCTTGCGGCTGTTGACTCGGCACATAAATAATAAAGAATTGAATTGAATTTATATGAAACTGCTGTATCAACGATCTCCATACATTAATTAATGTGCTATGGATCGAGATACAGTGAATAAAGACGGCGAATTAAAGATGTGGGAGGAACTGAGCGTTTTCTATTATAAAGAAGTAATCCGCTTTACTCCTTTAGCCAGGCGCATTATTTTGTAATAGTGTAAAGCTGACCAAATGCTCTCCCATGCTGTCGATGAAGTTTTCCCATTGTCTGATCAAATAAGCACCGGGCCATAAAGTTGTTTGGGGGAGTAGAATTATAACTCCACTATTCTGAACCTCGGAACTACATATACCTATAGCTATGGGGGGTCAGCTTCACCACCTACCGCTTTACCCCAGGGGCAATTGTCTGCCGTACCCATAGGATAGGAGGCTGGGTGAGCCCCAGAGGCGGTCTTATCGCTATGCGTAAGAGAAAACCTTATGAGCCCGCCGGTAATAGAACCCTAATTCCTCGGTATCCTAGCCAGTCGCTATACACTGGGAAAACATAAGGTACGTATTTTAGTATGCTTATCTTAGTACATGGGGGCACGCGATAGCATAGTTGGTTGAGGCACTGTGCTACAAGCCTCAAGGTCGCGGGTTAGAATCTCGATAAGGTGTTTTTTTTTTTCCCAATTGACATAATCCTTTCAGCAGCACTATGGCCCTAGGGTCGACTCAGCCTCTAACAGAAATGAGTAC